GGATGGGGCACAGGGGGGATCCATGGGCTGGGAGGACTTTTCCAGCCCCAGTGATCCTGGGATTCTGTGACATCCCAGTATACCCAGTCTTCGCACCTCTCCTGGGGCCCTGTGAGCCAACACCCTGCAGGCATTTGGTGTGCCCTGAGTTATAACATCTCCTTTCCAGCCCCGCTGACCTTGGCCAACAGACTCTTTGAGACAGGAGCTCTCTCTTGGCTGCAAGGCCCTGCCATGATTTTAGTAGTGTCGCCCTAAAGTTTTCAAACTCTTGAAGAGCTGATGGGAAAGAACAGGGAGAACCCAAAGCCTGACAGGTCCTGCAAGAAGAGGAGAAAGAGAAAGTGGTGCATTCAGAGGGAGAACCCAAAAGCCCCACGTCCGAGCCTCCTGCCCCGGGGGTTTGCACCATGTGAGGGGCACCCAGCCCGGCAGACGCCGTCCCTGGGGGCTGCCGTGGGACTGCAGACTCGGGTGGAGATAGTGCCACCCTGCAGCAGGGCTGGAAATCAGGGACGGCGCTGGATCTGGGCACCTTGCCCTGGGGCCCCACCCTGGTGTGGGGTCCCCTCCCTCGGGGTGCCAGGGCCGCGGGGCCCCCCCGGGGGCGCAGCCAATGAAGGGGTGCCCGGGGAGGAGGAGGGGCCCAGCGGAGAGGATAAAAGCGGGGCTGGCAGAGCCGTCCCCAGCGTGCGATCCCTCGGGAGCCAGAGCCGAGCCTCCTCCAGCCCCGCCACACGCAGCCCTCCAGCCGACGCCATGGTGCAGTGGACAGCCGAAGAGAAGCAGCTCATCACCGGCCTCTGGGGCAAGGTCAACGTCGCCGACTGCGGCGCCGAGGCCCTGGCCAGGTAGGTCCAGCCCCGGGAACCTGCCCCGCCGCACCCGGACAGAGACCACTCGGACCACGGGAGCGTGACCCTGACCCTGTGCCCGCTTGTGTCTCTCCCCAGGCTGCTGATCGTCTACCCCTGGACCCAGAGGTTCTTCGCTTCCTTCGGGAACCTGTCCGGTGCCACCGCCATCCTCGGCAACCCCATGGTCCGCGCCCACGGCAAGAAGGTGCTCACCTCCTTCGGGGACGCCGTCAAGAACCTGGACAGCATCAAGAACACCTTCGCCCAGCTGTCCGAGCTGCACTGCGACAAGCTGCACGTGGACCCCGAGAACTTCAGGGTGAGCCCTGTCCCCCATGGCAGTGTCCCCCCAACCCCTCCCCAGGAGGGATTTACCCCAGACGTGGGGCTGCAGGAGGAACAGCAGGGGCTGGCGCTTGGAGTGAGGGGGAGAGGCAGAGGGATAGAGAGGGAAGGGACCAACCTGCTGCCTGGTGAGAGGGTGCAGGGGAGGGTGCCTGGGGACAGGAAGGGGTTGAGGAGGTGGTTTCAGTGCAGGAAGGGACGGGGAGAGCAAAGAGAAAGCAGTTGTCAACAGAAAGAGGTCTGAGCCAAGGGGAAAGCCGAGGAGCAAGAGTGAAGCTTGGCATGGAGGAGAAGGGAGAGATGAGTGAGTAGAGCTGGATGCCAAAAGCAATAGAGGATCTAGAAGGAAAGAGAGCTTTGGCTCCTGTGTTTGTGCAGCTGAGAGTTCCCCAGTGCGGAATTAACCCTGACATTGATCCCCGGGGCTGGCAGAGATCCCCCCATGTCAGCATGAGCTCGTTGTTTGTGCCAGGGTGCCCAGTGCCAGCTCCCTGCCATGCTGGGAGCTC